AGAAAAAAAAAAAACAAGTTTTAGGAAGAAGAGGTAAAGAGGGGCAGCAGAAATTAGTAATGTTAGCACCTCTGTCCAAGGGGAATCTTTCCTAGCACATGTGCTGTGCCAAGGTGCTGATCTTTGGTTTCTGGATGTTGTTTTATATCACTATGAAGTTGACGTATATTTGGGTTTGTCAGACAAACAAGCATATTACCTTGGACTCTGGAACTTGTGACTGGGACATTTTTCAGCGACACTGGGGATCCCAAGGTCAAAACAATAATTCAAAACATTTCATTATTCTTCCATCTATAAAGCCAAACAGTTTTTTATATGTATTTATAAACCGTAGACGGTTGGATTGTTAGGATAAACTTGGGTGTAAATAAATGTTTTAGAGCTTTGTAGTTACTAGTTACTTTACAACAGGGAGAGTTTTATATTCATACAAAGATACAGAGACTCTTATTTAATATTATGTCTTTATTATAAATGGTGATTAGTCGATTAGACAGAAAAAAAGTTGATAATGGTTTAAGTAAGTTTTCATGTAAAAACATTTACTTCTTTAAAAATAATCATATTATGGAACAGCAAATAATATAATTAATATTGATATATAAACAGTTTAGAAATAAGCTCCACCTCAACAAACTGATGACGAGTTAAAAAGGCTGGGCTTTTTTTCCATTATGACATTGAGTAACTATAGTCTGATGAATATTACATACTATAATAGTATTTGTTGGGCACATTAAACAAAACTGCATTTTAATATTTTCCTTATTATTCATTTATTTTTAACATACATATATAAAATAAAACTGCTCCAAATTTTGTATCCTGTACTTGAGGATTGGTTTAACAGGCTGAGACTTCATTTAAATACATTTCAGGACACACTGAAGAGTAGAAATGTCCAGTTTTCTGCTCGGTTTCCACAAATACTTCTGGTGAGCATATTTGCAGGATTGATCAAACCAACATTTCAGATCAGGAGCTCCTGTTAACTCTCCCATCATCACAACAGTCCTCTCCATCAAGGATTGTCCCTGTCCGTTGTCTGGCTCATCTGGGGTCTTTCAAATACAGATTGTACAGCACTGACAATCCTCTATCTGTTTTGTTGATTTCACAACCCATTATCATGATCCCAGTTATAAGAACCTGGAGTTATCTTTGAACCAGCAGAACTTTAGTTTGAGTTACACATCTACAGCTATGCAGCAAATAAAATGTATTTTAGAAATAAATTTAAAACAGATTTTATTATTTTAATTTTGATTTAGATTTTGATTTGATTTTTGATACTCCACTCAAAGTAACATTCTGGTACAGGGAGATGTTTTAATGTGTTACCTTGTGAAAGGATAAGTGTGGTCCTTTGGGACAATGAAGGTTCATTTTTCAAGATCTGAAACTGTCCAAGATTATTTGCCATCAGAGCTTAAACACATTCTGAGATGCTGATGCTCTGAGATATACATTTCTATTTGTTTACCTTTGATGTATATATGAGGGGAATGATTACGTGTCATTATATGACATTGTAACTGTGAGCCTTGAGTTCTGAATACATTTTTTTTTTAATTGACCGACAGGACAGGTGACATTTAACATTTCTAACAAACAACATTTTGAAATATATCTCTTCTTCTTGGTCTGTTCCTCTTTTGTTCTCTTCACTTCTTCTCTTCACTCCATTTTTACAGAAAGAAACCTCAAACCTCTTATATACATAGATTTATGCAGCAAAATGTCTTTGATTGGCTGTTTAACAACCTTTAACTGTTCAGGCATTTCTCTGAATCTTTTGGTACTAGTTAAGAATGCAAATCTATTTACTGACTGAATAGTTTTAAAGTATCTGTCTAAGTATATTAAATTTGAATGGACAGGAATCATTCCAAGAAATAAAACTCAAAACTTAGCTAAATGTATTGAAACAGATGATAGATTAGTGACTTTGTTTATTGATTTGTCAGACAATATCAGGGAGACTGTCCCCCATTCCTTATTGTACTCATTTAACATTCTATAAATGATTCTTCTATGAGACAAATACTTAATCAGTGGCTCTAATGTGTGCCCAAGCAGTGGTGGAAGAAGCACTCTGAATGTTACTTGAATAAAAACAGACATACTTAAGAACTTATAAGTAAAATGTTGAGTTTAATTTGTTTACTGGAAAACAACAACTACAAGGTTACAATTAAAAACAGATTATTATTGACTTAGTGGTCTCCAGAAATTTCATATTTTTTTCAACTGATGTCAGCAAAGAGACACAATTTATTTGGATTTCTTTTGATATCATTTAAATGTGAATACTGCATGTTATTATTTTATTTCTTTATTTTTTATGTAATGTGTGTAACATGTAGATATTGAAAGGATGCCTGTATTTTACAATTGCACAAAAGTAAACATTTCCTCAAACTGCTTATTGTATAACAATGAGGAAGAATATTGGTCCACTTCTATAAATGTCCCTGTACTGCCCCCTTCTGGAGAGAAATCGCTCTACTTGATAGAACTGAACTGGAAATTAAAAAAGGCAGACACAACAACTCATGGCAACCAAAAGAAAACAGAACATGTGGTGGTTGCATTGAATCAGTGCTCCTGTTTTTAAACTCTTTGGGTCCCATAAAATCTTGGAAAGTTCCGAATTCATAAGTCAGATAATCAACAAATAATAAAACAGATAGTTGCTTAAAGTATCCTGGTAAAAATCAACATCTCTCATTTTGGATACAATGACATGATCTACTAAATGATATGTCCGTTTTCATTTTATGTTTCCCTTATTTTGATTTGAAAACTCAGTAATGTATTCATTTATTTATTTATATTCAAAAATTTCCTAATTCCCGCTGTTGTTATTAGGAAGCAGGTCCAACCAAGCACTTTCGTTTTGTGTGACAAGAAGAATTAAGAATTAAGACAGAAAAAGAAAAGTTCACTTCATTGGACATTACACTTTGTCCATCAAAACTTCTCCTGCCTGTCTGACTATCAAGTACTCAGCCAAGCCACAGTATGATTAAGCATATTTCATCAATAAAAT